ACAGTTTGATTCAACATGCAGCGTGAAAGTATCATCAGCGTTCTATCGATTTCTTGGAAAGGAGGAAAGGAAACGAGTTTTAGAGAATAAAAAATAAAAGTCTTTTGAAAAAGTAATCGAGAGGTGAGGGTTACGAATTAATTAATTCTTGCGGAATCAGGTAGGTCAGGTAATAGGGTGTATGACGCGTATTTTCTTCGAGATTAGTTTTTAATACGCAGCACGCATCGAAACGTACGAAATGGGAGGGAAGAAAAGGGCGAGAAAAAGGCAGAAGCCTACTTTCGAGAGAGTAGAATTTCTTAGAAGAGTACGAATCCTAAGAATGAAACTTTGGAGAAGAAGATCGAGGCAAGATTGTAAATTAATTAATTCTTGGGAAAACCTATTCTCTCGAAGAGAAAATGAATTCTAAAAGAAAAAAAAAAATGAAAAGATCAAGGTAAGATTAATCGCGGGATCGCCGGGTAATATAGCGTATCTTTCTTCCTTGGACACGGATCGAAGCGTAAAGCAGCGCGAAAACATGAAAACGTACGCAGTCGTACGCACAAAGGGTATGAAAGAGCAAAGATTCTCGCGACATTTGCTGACGCGCGGCACACGGACTTTTTTCAACAGACTTTTCGACTCGTCTTGCTGCAGTTTATCTCCTCGAATGCACTACTGTTCGAGCGCGCGATACATCACACAGGGATTGGTGCTTGCATCGGCGAGGGATACCAGTGAAGCGTTGGATCGTGCGTTGCGAACGATGCGAACGAGTTTTCCATCTACGCGTGAAACACAACGCGTTTCGATCGGCAGAGGGACGGGGCACTCTGCTCGAACTGCAACAACGAGAGACTCGTTCGATCGTGGAGCAGAGGAAACGCTCGTGAACTCGAGAGAAGCCGGAGATATAAGAATACGTTTGCGGGAGCGTGGCTGGGAGGAGATGCAATTGAAACGAGCGTGGCAGAGCGTGCGTGCGGTGAATGCAGCGAGCAAAGGAGTTGGTCTTGGACCAGGCTGGAGGGCTGTCCACACGTTCAGCGAGGTCGGATGCGTTCTCGACAAAGTCTGGCTCGTCGTCGTGGCTCGACAGACAGACGACACGTGGTGCAAGCATTGGGAGAGGGGTTGAAAGCGACGAGATTCCCGAAAACGACTCGATCCATCCCGCGCGTACGAGCGTGTACGTGTGTGTGTGTGTGTGTGCGTACGCATATCGACTTTCCGCGAGCGAGTCTGAAGCGCGTTGCGGACTTTCGCGTACCTGGAGTGGCGAGAGGTTTCGGCTGCGTCGGTGTCGCGTTCGGTCCTCCGACCACCGACGATGCCGCCGGACTGTACGCCCTCATCAGCTGCCCTCCGCGTGGCAGGGTGCTGCTTCCCCCGACGTAGTAGCCGCTACTCCCGGAACTCGAGTTCTTCGCCGTCTGAAACAAAGGGAATCGAGCTGAAACTTTCCTTTCCTATCGATCGATCCTTTCTCCGGCTCTGCCACTGATGACCCCAAAACACATGACCCCTACACACACTGATCGAATATCCATTTCCCGAATATCTGCGAATCCTCCGTTTCGAAATTCAATCTTTTTTGTACTTGTGCTGCTGACTTTTCTCTTTTAAACAAACTTTGCGAGACGGTTGCGAGACTAGACCTGTAGTAGCCGCAGATTTGAGAAACAGAATTTCAATAATTTCTCATCGTGCGAATACTCTGAAAAGTCTATTGTATATTTTTCATACGTGATTGCTCTGAAAAGTACGTTAATAAATGTCGTATATATTATTCGGTGCTCGTAGTGAAAGGGTTAAGAAGGAGTAATTGTTTTTCGATGGAAAAGTTTCGAGGAGAAATCATGCGTGTCGCGATGGCAGCGCGTAACGCAAACACTCGGCGATCTAGTTACGAAATATCGCGGAATATACCGGAATTATATGTACGTATTAACGATGAAAAGTAAAAAAAATCGTGAAAACAACCACCACGGTAGAAAGTAAAATATATTCCGAGTGCAGGAACTTTTTTCTCTCTCTGTCTCTGTTCCACAACTTGAATTTCAATTTTCATGCGTGCGTTCGCGCGAATCTCCGGTTCTCGAGAGAGAGAGAGAGAGAGAGAGAGGAAAGATTGCTACTGGGAAAGCAACGACGCAAAGGATGTCGCAGATCGAGATAAAGTCAGAGCGTCACGTGTCGTCGATTTCACGCAGATTTTACGCAGATCCATAAAGAACCGGAAAACTTTCAGGTTTACCTCGACCCACGAGACAGATCGCTCTCGCGGATAATCGTCGTGTCGCAACGAGAATAAGAAATACCCTCTTTTCTCGAGATTACGAGTAAACTCTAGAGAAACGAATGAAACTGGTTCAAGGTATATAACAATCTCGTCACGGTATTCGACGATTCGAGCGGGTGAGACGAGGTTTCCACGAGGTTGGATCATCCTTGCAGAGCGAGGTCTGTGCGTCAACGGGAATCGCTTCTCGCATTTCCGTCCGAGTGCACCACACCAAATCGAGGTGGCTGCGAGACGATTTCGAGTCGAACGATCAAACGATTCGTCAAGTGGCATTAGTAGTAGCAAGGTCCTCCTCCCTCTTCGACACCGTACAACCTGTTTGCTCGAGCCATGCTCGTTCGTCTGTCTCGCCACTGGCCTTACTTAGTGTTGTTTACTCGCGTCGACTGTTCGCCACACACCGGCTCCGTTTCTTCTGCTCGAGTTCGCACGCGTCTCTCTCTCTCTCTCTCTCTCTCTCTCTCTCTCTCGCAGTTTGGCGAGATTTCGGCGAGGAGACGAGTTATATAGTCATCGAAAAGACTTTGTTGAAGAGAAGAGTGAGAAGACGAGGGGATGAACGAATCGTCGAAACTCTTTCGCGGGAAACATCGAAATCCCGCTGTCGCGATCGTTCGTTTGCTCTCAGTGGGTTTGCTCATGGTTCGATTCTCCGATTCGGCGACGTCGATAAGGCAGCGACCATTTGGGACACCTATGCACAAGGTGGAATTCACTCAGAAGGGATACATTCAGGTGAGAGGAACGACGAGAGGATCGGTCGATCACTAATTCTCTCCCTAATTCAGGCGAATTTTGAAACCAATTCCTCGAGTAACAAAGATTCACAATTGAGACAATTGCTCGAAGCGCTTGCACTGACTTACACGACATCACACAGGTGAAGGTGTTACATACTTGTAATTAGTTAATCGACGTCAAATATAGTCACTACTATGGTCAAATCGAACCACGAACGATTCTATTCGTTACCGATTAGAACGTGGAATTACTCTGTTATGGAAAATAATAGAGATACGTTTGCCAGCGTTTATTGGCAAATCCCACGAACGTGCGAGGAGACCGAGATTGTCCAACGGAGTGCGAAATCATTAAGAACAGAAGGCCTGTTTCTTCCTTCGACCTCGTTAGCGCAAAGATCTTTATATGCCGAATGATTTTTTTATTAATGGCGTAGCTACAAAAATAGAATTATGTGATTCGATAGGACAAGCTTACGCGACGAGCTTATCAAACAGTAAGTATACAAGTATTCGAGAGAATCGAGCTTGAAGATTTACTAACAATTCCAGGCTAAATACTTGAAATAGTTTCGTTGAAAGTTGCCTTGGCACTACGCTTGGCGTACTTGGCGGAGAGATTTATTGATTTTTCAAATCTGCAAATCAATAAATTTTCTTCCACGCTTCTTAATTACTTTCCACGCAACTGGAATAATCTCCACTGTCGATGGCAGCCTTGCACCACGATCTCGAAAACAAAACGAACTTCTGCGTCCTAATCTCGAGAAATGTTACAGCAATCGATCGAAGGACTAAGAAGATTGGTATTTTGGCATTTGCAGTTTCTGCGGTGGGAGCTGCCGGTGCCGGAATTTACCGAGTTCACCTTCTGTTTATGGATGAAATCGAACGATCTGACTCACTCCCATCCGATATTCTCCTACTCGAGTAAGTGAAACCCACGGTCGCGCTCGTGCAGTAATTCTTTCTCTTCTATTATTTTTTCCCTCTCTCTCTCTCTCTCTCTCTCTCGTTTATTGAGTGCGATTACTTTCCGCAAGGCGCGTGGCGTCTTTACGCAAGACCGCAAGAAAGCAGTCACGAAAACTATTTTCACCACTCAGAAAATCAGTGGCTCGTGCCGGGCCGGTCGCATTTCATTCGCCTGCTTCGAACCGAAGCGGCTAATAAAATGAAATAGAAACGAACATCCGTCTGGTTAAATTCGTCGTCCAGCTTCACCACGCGATCTTCGTGAAAATCGCTTCGGAAGAATTCGGACTTGGCAATTTTCGTTAATCTTTTGTCCATCCAACTAACCTGCTTTCTATTCGAGGTTTCATTTTTTCGGTCGCGAGTTTCTCTTCTCGCGAGAAGAGCAAAGTTTGACACAGCGAACGCGTTTACTTGCGACAGAGAAGGAACGAGAACGGTTGGTCCGATCGTGGATCGGTCCGCATGGTGGGAGCGTTCACCTTGAGATCGGAGGGGAACAGGTGCTCGCAGCGGCCAGCGACATTCTCGAGAATCGCTGGTACCATTTTTGTCTGAGCTGGGAGAGCCAGGCTGGCCAGTACGGACTCTGGGTGGACGGTCGACTTTTGGCTCGTGGTCACTCGGTAGAGGTTCGTCGACGCGAACTTTGTGCCCGACAAACTGACAGACGAGGAGGATTCTTGATTTCAGACGATAGGACACGCGATACCAAGCGGAGGGGACATGGTCCTGGGCCAGGAGTACACGGACTTTGACAAAGGGCTGGACGACGGTATCGAGGGCTCGGTCGTGGGCTTCAATCTGCTTCTGGCCTCCGCTTTCGACGCGAGCGACCACCTCGAAGCCGCCTACGACGCGATCCCGGCGTTCTTCGACTGGAGGAGCGACGCCGCGATTCCGCAACGAGCCGACCATCATCACGGAACGATTTCCAACGAGCCTCGAGGACGTGGACAGCTGGTGGTCGTCGACCATGCTGCAAGCGCGACGGAACTCGCCGAGTGGGAAGAACAGCCTGCGGGGCTGCGATTGATCAAATTGTCGTACGTACGTTGCGAAATTGGAAGAGGAAGTCCCTTCATAGCCGGCGGATCGATGCTCATCTCCTGGACGAGAACACCGGTCCGTGTTTTCGGCGGCGCCGTATTGAAGAACGTGGAGGGCGCGTGCGGCCATTTCTAGAATGCCTGGCCCACGCTGCACTAGATGCGCGAAATACTAGAACGCGATACGAGAAATGTAACGTACACGACCGCGTCTTGCACGCAGCATTTCCAGTTCAATCTGCGAGGTTTTTGAGACTCGTAGACTCGCTTCCGATCGAAATTGCCTCGGATGCAATCGGTACGCAGAGTTTTCGAAGAGAAGCGGAGAGAAAGCGTTTAATTGCAGAGTGAAAATCAGAGTGATGGTTTGTTTTAAGGTCGTTGTCCAACGACGGAACATTGCTAGCGACCTGCAATTATATATGCGTAATTATATGTATATATATATATATATATACACGAGAGTGTGTTAATGATAACTGCACAGCGACTTGAGATGAAGTCTGCAAAATTATTCGTCAACTGGATCATTTTTTTTTTTTTT